GGGTTGGGATATAAAGTCTAAAAAACATGAATGGAAGTCAATGGAAGGTCCCCACGGGATCGAGAAACAAACGCGCGCGTGTGTGTGTGTGTGTGCCCATGTTTTTGCTACTTGGTGGGGACGATTTTTCAGGAAAATGCAGCCTTGTGGGGACCGGATGCTCCTTGGGTGGGGGGGTTATGTTTAGGACCAAGGTGTGAATTGAGTTTAGGTTAGTATTAGGGTCAGGTAAGGTACCTGTGAGGTTAATTTATGGTAAATGGTCAGGGTTAGGATGTAAAATTACCAAGAAATAAATGGAAGTCAATGAAAAGTCTCCACAAGGATAGAGAAACATGGTGTGGGTGTGTGTGTCCTTACAAACTACCAGTCTGAAAGGTGTCAGCGATGACTGGAATCTGGGAAGAGTCAAAGGTCATTTTTAAAACAATTTAGGAGTTCGTCATCCTACAGAGAAAAAGATTCACATTTAGGACAGCTGCTAATCTTCCTAGCAGTGAACATCTTAGCAAATTCACCCCAAGGTCAGACCGTGCAATGCGTGAGACTCTACAGGCCTGTTAGCAGGGTAAAGTCAAAGGTTGTGACAGGACTATTAGAAATAGGCTGAATAAATATGACCTTTTTGTTTCTGAAGCAGGACAATAAAACCAAACACAGCAGCCAATCAACAAGACAGCTCAAAAAGGAAAATAATAATTAAGGTTTAGGAAAATAGAGCTTTGTGTGTTGAATTCTAAATGTAGTTTTGTTTCTACTAACATGACRCAGTGCAAGACACACTGCAGAGTTTACCAAAATAATGATATATTAGATGGAATTGTTGACATGTCTTCTACATTCCTCACATCTGTTTCACAGAATCTCCGTCAGCAGATCCTCGAGCTGCTCGGCCCAATCTCCATGAACCACGGCGCTCATTTCATGGCGGCCATTGCTTATGTTTGGAACGAGAGAAAACAGGTCAAGACCCCAGTAAGAAATAAGGTAAATGAGTTGGAATAAAGAATGAGACGTTCTTTTAGACTCTCTCATTTTCTTGTCTGAGTATGAAGCCATTTTGTTTTACGTTCATCATAGAAAGCAGTTCAGTTTCATTTCTACACATGGTTTAAAGTCAAATCTAAGTGGGGACAAAAAGCAGCTCAGTTGAATTGATCCTTTTCAAGAAAGCTTCTGTTTTATTTTTTCTTCTTTTAGTATTGATGAAAGTTGTTTTGTTTAGGTGATTCCTGTAGCAAGTGAGGAGCAGCTGCTGCTGGTGGAGCTGGTTCGCTCAGTAAATGCCATGCGCACTGAAACTGTTGTACAGACGGTCAAAGAAGTCCTGAAGCAGCCGCCTGCCATCGCAAAGGACAAGGTTAGCTGAAGATTCTTATCCTTTGTGTTTTTATGATCATGTTTTTTTTCCTCTCAAAAGCTGAAGAGTTGGTGTTAACACTTCATAAGCTGACGGATGTAACTGTTCACTAAGACGTTAAACTGATGTTATTTTTCACTGATCTCCAGAAGCACATCTCTTTGGAAGTCTGCATGCTGCAGTTCTTCTACGCCTACGTACAGAGGTGAGTACAGTTCTACACACTTCTTACCTCCAGTTTACATTACATGCGGTTCTGCTCAGTTCGCCTCCTCTCCTCACTACTTCAGTTCACACAGCGTCCGCTCCGGTGCAAAGCTCAGAGGAAGTCCGAGAAGCGTGTGCAGGAAATATAAGATCGCACCATAAATCCTGTAATAAATGTTAAAGTCAGATCAAAATAATTCATTCTGTGAAAGACGGACTGCAAACACAGCTGAAACTGTATTGCTGTCATCGTTTTTAAACTTCTAATTTCAAAATAAAATCCATGTGTATCGTGTGTGTATGCATATTCTGCATGCTACATGTTAACATCTGCTTCCCAAACAGATCGATACATTTTGACGGCATTTCTGTAGAAATATATACATATTTTTTATTAATAAAGCTGGGATTTCGACAAAATTAGTCTGCCTTTTGTGAATTATTTTGAAAATGCAGATGTTGAGCTTGTTCCTTTTCCTATGGGTGTGACGTGATCTTTGTAGATTGACTCCAGCGCAGCTCTGGCAAAAATAGGATTAAATCTAGTTTTGGCAGCTCGCCGCTGTTGTGCAGAGCCAGTGCTCTCATTGTTTGTAATGCTCGTCTTTACTGCGGAGGTCAGAGCGCAGCAGAACCGCATCCAGTGTAAATTGAGTGTTTGTATTTAATGTATTAAGTATCATTACTGTGGTTCCCTAAAAGTACACATTTTGCTTCATTTTTAAAACTAATTTTCCTGTTTATAATTTGTTGGTTGTGTTTTTAGGATTCCTGTTTCTAGTTTGGTTGATAGCTGGCCATCTCTGCTGGCTCTGCTGAAGGACTCGGTCCAGCTGGGTCTGCCGGCCCCCGGACAGTTTCTCCTCCTGGGGTCAGTTCCTCTGCTTGAACTCTTGTTAAAATCTGCAGCCAAGCTCGTGCCCCACAGAGCACCCCTCCCCTGAAGCATTGTTGTGAAGGTGTGCTGAAGTGGGAGTGTCAGAAAAAGTAGGAGGTTCTTAATTTCAAGGTGTTCTTTTTGATTTAAAGTCAAATTTATTTGATAAATGCTTATATCATGTATTTGATGAGGCTCCTGCTCAACAGAGCTCCACCAGACTAGCAAAGCATATCTTAAAAGTGGTGAATGCTCATGATTTCATTGCAAATCATAATTTTATAATGATATATATTTATAGTTTCTTTGCAAAAAGTAGCTTAACATTGATGTTTATGTATGAGAGGATGACTGGGACTTTGTGAACCTCTGTACTCACTCCAGCTCTTCAGAAAATGTACTTTTTAGGTCCGACGTGGGAACTGTCAAGTAAGGTTCAACTGTGTCCTAAGCTGCCATTTTCTGAATCCAGTATTATCCAATGTTGCTTCTTTTTTACAACAAAATACAACGCTCCTTTGAAAGCTTGTAACYGGCATGAAGCAGTGTTGTGAAGATGTGCTGAAGCGAGAGTGTTAGCAACAGTATGATGTTTTTAAGGAGACAGAGGCCAGTTTCAAGACGTTTAGATGCTATAGTGTAAAGTCAAATTTAAATTTGATATAAAGCATTTTCAAAACAGCTGAAGGTAACAGTTAGTAGAGTGTTGTAAAGATTTGAACTAAGTGCCTGTAAAATACATGATACCCACTTTAATGCTGTTTTAAACTTGCATTTAAAAACTTGTTTGGGGGGGTCTTCCACTAATGCAAATAATGTAAATAATAGTTTTGATTTTAAAATGTTTTAAAGATTAATTGATGCACAATAGGAATGCGCGATATAAACGATATACGGTAGAAACGATATAAATTATTCCTATGATAGAGATCTATGGTCTGTCGGCCAACCGCACATTTCTTTTTGMTGATGTAACCGGCTGGAGTCAAAACAGAGGAAGCGGGAAGCAGCGTGGCTGAGAGCGCAAATGAAGAGGGGGGAAAAAAACATAACTTATCCGGACCACTGTTTACATGTTTACGTGACGGCGCGCCTGCAGCGGGAGGAGAGCACGCCGCGGCACATGRTGACGCAGCGAAGCTGAGAGCACAAATGAAGAGGGGAAAAAAAACATAACTTATCCGGACCTGGTTCAGGTGTGCAAAAATGAACACCGAACTGTTTACATGTTTACGTGACGGCGCGTCCTCCGGTCGGATGCCGAACGACCACAGTGCCTGCAGTGGGAGGAGCGCGCGCATGGTGCATATGGTGACGCAGCGAAGCGACAGTCAGTGCAGGTGAAGTCAGTTCTCCAGCAGGAAGCACAAAAGCTCTCTGAGTCTGGACCTCGTTTCTCCTGCGGTCATAGCGCAATACTTTCTCCTTGTACAGCGGGGGAAGYGCTGTGGGAAAGGCTGACAGTCAGACTGTCTTTCCAAAAAAAAAGGGTAAAGCATAAACGCGATGATTGTCACCCCGCCGAAGCGCGCACAGATTAAACACATGGAGTGCAGAAAAAGTAATCTGCAAAGTGTGTAGAAAGGAATAAATACAAACAATTTGTTTTACCACCTTAAAACGAAGCAGGTGATTCCAAACATCCAATGGATGCAGATATCTATTACATTAAAGTTATTGGATGAGTGTGTGTGATATCTATATATATATCTATCTATCTATCTATCTATCTATCTATCTAT